TTCACTTGGTCTTTCAAATATTTTCTTCTACTAATTCACATAAAGATATCACTGATGGCTTAAACATTAAAGAAGCTTGACACAGAAAGCTGATGTCATATGCCAGAGACATGAAGTGAGAAAACAGCCCTTTCTGGCCAGCAAAGACTTACTCTTGGCTTTCTCACGGGTTACAAAATTATCATCTCTTGAGGATATTAGAAACCTCTCTCGGGTCTTACCTGTGTATACTAAAGCACATTTCCTTTTCACTTGAAAGTTCAGTGCAATGACTCATTTGTACTGAAGTATTCCAGTCTTCAGGTATTTTAAAGATTCTGTCACATCAGCATAGGTGTTGCTAGTAACTTCAATAATCTTAACATGAAAATCATGTCATATAAAAAGGAGAAGAATCTCCAGGGTTTTCCCAGTCATACAATGGGAAAAAAAAAGAATTTGGAGTCTCAAAAACAGCAATCAGTTTGAAATACAGTATGTAAAGAAGGCAGCATCTTAGAAAGAGTATTTTTTCCTCACCAGCATATTGCACTAGATTGTGTATAGCTGCACAAATCCCCAGGGCTCCAGAGAAGAGTAGTTCTCCTATCTAAATGTATCTGGCCAATTGTGCATCAGGAAAACAAATGCTCCTGTGCATCCCTTTCAGGAAACCAGCTGAAGCCCCGAAGCGTGAGATTTGATTAGAATCATTGGCCTTGTGCTGCACTGAACTGTCAGAAGCATGTGGAGGACAGCCCATGGTCACCTGCTCTGCTGGAGACCACGGAGAAAGGGTGCAATCAAAATCATAAAATAAGGGAAACTAAGAGTGTGCTGCCACACCATCCTGTTCAATCTTCTGTAATACAAGATTTCACAGATTTCTTAAAGAAAGGAGTATATTAAAACCTTTTGTTTAAAAATATTATGTATCCCTCAGATGTAGTGAACGTTCTGCATTTTTTAGGTCACTGTTTGCTATTGTTTGCTATTGTATGTACCCTGTAATGATTCTTTGTCTGATTTAGGATTTTCGTTTTGTTCCTTATTTGCTTGAAGATGCTTTTTCTTTATCTTTAATCTTCGTGGTGAGTTTGCTGTAAAAGCCACTGGACTTCAATTCCTTTAGTTCCCATTTATATCACCCTATATTTTATAGTACAGGTTAACTTTTTTTATCCCCCTTTTACTCCATGCCTCTTGTTTTTTTAGGAAACACTATGGATTTTTCATCCTCCAGGCAGTTCATATATGTGGTCCTTTTGGATACTAAGCTTTTGATCTTTCTGGAGTTGTAAAGGGCCATTTGGTAGTTTTTTGGATATGCCCTATTTCACTTAAAGATTCGCATCTGCAGTGTGTATTTTCCTGAGCATTTAGGAAATTTAGTTTTCATCATTAAAACACTGTGCATTAAAATTACTCATAAAGACAGGGGATGTAGTGACAAAGGACATGGAAAAGGCTGAGGCACTCTGTCATCTTTGCCACAGTCTTTACTTGTAAGACTGACCTTCAGAAATCCCAGATCACTGAGACTGATGGGAAATTCTGGAGCCAGGAATACTTATCATCGGTAACGGAGGATCAGGTTAGAGAGATTTATGAAAGGCTGCCTTCACACCACTGGACAGAGAAACAAGGAAGGAGAGGCTGCTTTTTCCAGTGAATGCCGAAACGTATCTGCCAGAAGGCTTAAGGGGAATGCAGTGTAAAATGCTGCTGCTGTTTTACATCTGTTTCTCTAGGAGATTAAAATAATGTTGGAAAATAATTCAAAGACTTTCAGCCTGTTTAGATTTGCAAGGTTAACAGAGTGAGCAGTTCTTGATCCAGAAACAAGCTTGAGGAATGATCACGTTGCAGGTTCTTAATCCAAAGAAGGTCACAAAGAGGGTGCTTTGGTGGGGAAGAGGACACTAAAGGCACAAAGAAGGTTTATGGAAGAGGTAACCAGAGGCAGTGTGATAGATGGAGTGTAAGCCTATTGCAATAGGGTCCGTATTCTTCTGTACGATCACAGCAGCCAGCGTGTTGGGAATGCAGTTTCCCTGCTGCATGATGAATGTGAATTTAGTAGAATTTGCAAGGGCTCACCATTGCCCCATTACCATCAACCAGTAAAACGGGCATACTTCCGTCACAGGAAATAATCATAAAATGATATTGTACAGCCTCTCAATTTAGATCAGAGCAGTGTCTGCTCAGGTTGGGTATTACTATGAGACAAATCTTTCCTAGCAAAAGGGAACTCATTTCTGCACTGTTATTTTACTGAGTGTTAAGGTCATATGTAGGTACCTTTACTTTCAATGTTATTCCAATATGGCAGTTTTTGCAATTAAAAGCCTGAATAATACTCTTGGTGTAAGTCTCTGATTTTTATTAGTAAACTAATGCCTGAAAAAAAAAAAAGAGGGTGAAAAAAGGCTTTTTCCAACTATATGTGCAGTATTTTCTTTTGGGTATGGTGTGCAATGGTACTATTAATGCACATATTTATTAAGCTCTTTACTTTCGTTACAATTTGTGTGTAATAAAATGCCATTTTATGACATATTTTTAAATTTTTTTAGGACAGCATTTGAGTCAGTTTGCAACCAAGCAATAGTAAAGGGGAATGGGGAGGAGCAAGATGTTTTTGTTAGAAAATATACAAGTTCAAAAAAGCTGGCTAGCTATATGCTTGACTGGTTACTGAAATGCTGGAAGAAATGTTACTAAGTGTGGAATTACATCCTCTTTCCTCCATACACAGAAAAAGCCCAAGGAAATATTATTTGTCATAAGACCTACACTCTATAATCTGAAATGCCACTTTACTGCTAAGAGCAAAAGGATAAAAAACCAAACAAACAAAATGCACACAAAAAAACTCAAGAGCCTGAAGAAAGTATTGCTGAGCAATTCAAATTAAATCAGCTTTTTACTGAAGTAAAAAGAGGGGGAGGAGGAAAAAAATCCCTCTGTTTATTTAATATTTACAGTTCAAAGAGAAAAAACCAGCATAGACGGAGAAGATGGTACACATGAATGTTCCTTTTTATATTTTGGTCCTTATCTTTACTGAAAGTTATGATTATTTATAAAATCTAACGCTGAAATCATAAAACTCTAGTCAGTGCGTTTCTTTGCCTGCAGATCTGAATCCCATTTCCTTGTCTATGACTGCCAAAAATAACTTAGCACAGGGGACTCCCACAACACACAGAAAGAGAGAGCGGAGAGGAGCCTCCTCTCGTTCCAAAACCGAGGATCACATAACGATGTCTGTTGCAGTCACTGCCATGGTGACAGACCCGTGGTGATGTGTGCTTACTCCTTGCTTTCTGAATGACGTTTTTTGCTGAGGGCTCGAAACAAGCACAGACTCCATGAGCCAGAAGCTGGACCTCAGACAGCTCCTGGAGGGAGCAAAAACAAAGCCCTCGCTTAGCTGAGCCAAAGCAGGATTGATGGACTTTGTGCTAAGACTCACATTTTTCCTGCTTTTCCATGGTGCCAACACTGTGTATTGGACTTTCTGTAGGCATGGGGCAAGGAAGAGATTCAACTTTCTCAAGCCTGGAGTAGACTAGAGGGAGGCAGCCACAAAAACAATGGTTGTGTTTGTATCAAAGGAACAGGCAGGATCTTTCTCACTGCCTTGTTTTCAGCAGTCATATACATTTCTGTGATGGACAAATGCAGATATTTTGTGAATCAGAGCTGAACACGTAGCTTTAGAGTGAAAAAACAGATCACAGACCACCACCAAAAAAGCCCGAAGCAATCAAACTCTATCTAGACAGAGATTTCGTTAGTATTTCTGCTGGACAGTTAATGTGAATTGCTCCTGTTATAAACTATCTGCGTAGTTTTCAGGATGTTAAGGTCAGGCATGTTCAAACCGCACAACAGGGAGTTGAAACTGGCCAGGGGTGCTCACTGAAGCTTCATGTATTTCAGAAGAATGAAATGGCACTCACAGAGTGAAACTAAGTCTTTTTATTTTTTTTTAAAGAGAAAGCAGATGTATGTACGAAAGAAAAATAAATGAGCTTCAGTGACAATGAGACTTGAAGTTAGAACAAGAGTAGAACACAGCGCCTTTCTTGACATCCATGATATTGGCACTTCAGAATATGTCTGTGGTGGACCTCACAGTTGGCTAATACTAAAATCCATAATAGTTCAGGACACGCTAACTGAGGGGCTGTTTTTCTTCGTGTGTTGTGCTCTTCCCTTAGAGATATTTCCAACGAGTACACCCTTGTTTTGTAAGGAAGGAAATTGGTGGCAGGCTGGTCAGAAGCATGCTGTAGCCCACTCGAATTCCTAATATTGCAGTATCTTTTGATTGAAACCCGTAAGGAACCTTTAGACTTCAAAGTTTGTTTTCCAGCTTTTGGCCTGAAATAGTTAATTCCTTATACCACGGCTCATGTTGCAAAGCTGATTTGCAGGCATTTGATGGTGCTCTGAGAATGTGCTTTGAGCATGGAGAGACTTCTGTTTTTGTAAGAATTTTTGAGGTTTCACTATTTTATTATTTCCTTTTTTATGGCAGAGCAGCTAAGAGATGAGGATAAGTATCTTTTATAGTGTTCAAGCCGAAATATATAAATAACGAAACAAAGGTGTAGTGTCAGTACTGAGCATTTAAAGAAAAACAATCAGTGGAAGGTACAGTACTTTTTTTTTCTTTTTCTTCCCTGAAGTGTTTTACAGCTCTCCTAAAACAAGACATGGGAAAACTGTAATTAGGTAGTCAGAATATATGGAGTCAGATTACTAATGAAACGCTCATTTGGGACTAAAACCTTTTTACTGGAAGCAAAGGGTGAGGAGAACCTCAGCTGAAGTGCTGAGTACCTTTGAGGACTGGGCCTCTCTTTCCAGAGGACTGGAAGGATGGGTCTGAGATTAACCTATGGAGGAGGTCGTAGAATGACAGGACGAGGATATCGCCATTTGGAAGGACTGTCTTGGATGGAAATAGCGATTGCTCTGGTTATAGCTTCCCTTCGTTCTTCCAGGTGTGTCTGCTCAGCTGACCAGCACTCGTCTCCGTCGGAACACCTCCGTGGGCACCCCGTTCTGGATGGCTCCAGAGGTTAGATTAATCTTTCAAAACATTTTGTCACTTGTGTTTGAGCTGCCACATTTTCCATTTCTGCTCTTTCTTTGTCTTTCTTCCTGACCACTGGTCCTTTCACCAAATGAAATAGCAATGACCTTTAAAAAAGTTTTTTAAACCTCTTTTTCTTACTTATTTGTAAAGATTAAATTTAAATGGGTTTTATTTTTGAAAGGCAAGGTTAGAGCCAGAGAGCAAGACATTGAATTGCTTACCAAGATTTTAAAGAGGAGGGAGTGCTACCACTGATCCTTTTCAGCCTTCCAAACTCTGAAACTATAGGTATCTCATTTCCCTTTGGATGGAAGGTGCCCAGAGTGGTACTGTGATACATTAGAGCTTATATTTTTTATTTTCTGGACTTGTAAAGTTTTTCAATACTGCAGCTGACAGCAAGGAATAGAAGAGGTTATTATGAATGAATAATATGTACTGTCTTTGGAGATTTTTCTGGCCTGAAATTAAAGCATATAAAGATACCATTTAAGTTGAGACAGGAAAAATATTTCATTATAAATAAGCCTACATACTTACACTATTTGTGCACACACATAAAAGTCACATGCATATACCTCTGTTTGTGGCACATGAAAATACTCTGTTTTTACACGTATTTTATCAACGTACTGTTTATATACATTAATCTAGCCATGTAGCTAATGGCATAACTGATGGTTTGGACCTGTAGCTAAAGGGATGAAAAATTCTAGATTCATCCAGCATTGTGGATGAGCTGAAATGTACGTGAAATTAAATACATTTGCTGTAATCCAGTGGCAAACATATTGTTGAGAAACCAGCTTGGTCTTGAAATTGGCTGATTTGGCTGAATAAGGACCCAGTAAGAGATAGTGAATTCATCTTATTCTTTCCTGCTTGTTTCACTTCATAGACAGAACAACATAGCTCCATTAGTTATTTTGCAGGAATAATCCGTAGAAAAAAGAGTTAGGGTTGCTGAGTTTCTTCCTACTTCCCTCAGCCATGGGATGCAGTTTACCACCTTCATCTGAAAAAGCCAAGGGTTTGTGCCCTTTTGTCGGATAAGGAAACATCTGATCAGAGAACCTGGTGTTCATGGATGCTGCTTTCTCTAGTTTAAGCATTACTTTTTTTTTTTGCGATGGGATGTTTCAACTTGCTAAATGTGTGAAAGTCGTATTTATTTCACCGAGTATTTCCATCATGTAAGACTTTCCCTCACCTGTGGATGTGCTCTTAAATTTGGACATTTGACAATCCAGTGACCATCCTGGTCTTTTACTCCAACAGGTGATTGCCTGTGAGCAGCAGCTAGATAGCTCCTATGATGCCAGATGTGATGCATGGTCACTGGGTATTACTGCAATAGAGTTGGGAGATGGAGATCCACCCCTTGCTGATTTGCACCCTATGAGGGCACTCTTCAAAATACCAAGGTAATATCTTGATGTATTTATTTCTTCCTGGGCTAGACTGAACTTTTTCCTTATCTGTTACTTTCTTCAAACGTAGTCGACTGTGTGAGTTTGTAGAGGTTTTTCATAGTACTTACACTAGGAGGAGTCTAGAAATGTTTGTCTGTATTTCTGCAAGCTCTACTTCAAACACTTGCAGTCGATGAGAAGTTCAGAACTGACTGTGGCTACCTTTGAGTAAAAGCCATAAGACCTTCTCCTGAGTGGATTGCTGCCCAGTGTACATGAGCACAGGACTTAGCTGAGTCCTGTATATTCTGTTACAAAAGAATGACTTAGGGTAGAGACATGGAGTCTAAGTATGCCGCAGTGGTGAACGGTCCCCATACCTGTCCACAAGAGTTATCTCATGTCCCTTGAAGTCGTCTTCCGCCACTCACATACATTAAGGCTGCCACTTTTCATTAGCTCATGCTGCTGCTGGCAGTTCCAGTGTTGCTGTCCTTGGGCAGTGCAAATAGCAACTTTTTTTGTGTTTTCTTTGAAGCTGGAGATAAAAGTACCCAAAGTGCCACTTTACAGCATTTGAGAGACCATCAGTCTCAAAGTCTGTGGGAGATGATCGTACAGCAGTTTGTGGATTTCATTCTAACAGCTGAAGCAATACCACAGTTGAGGCCATATAGTATACATGAGTGCTTCAAGTCCTTTTCAGCCAAGTCACCCAAATTAGTTTAAATTACCTTCAGGTTTTAGAAATCTTGGCTGAGTTGACAGTGAAACAGAGCACAAATGCTCTTCTTACCTTTACTTGCTATGTGAAAGGCAGTTACAAACTGCTGTGGTCAGTCATTTCCACTTCAAAAAAACATCTGGCGTACACCCCTACAAATACTGGGAACCTTTCTACCCTGGAGCAAATACAAGATCGGTAGCCTTTTATTGTATTTAGTAAAACATGAAAGTGATAGAGTAAACATTAAGTATCACTTAAAGAAAAGCAGTTATGACGATTAAAAATAGACAAGTCACCTTGTCTGTAGGTCATTCGTTTTGTCTTCATGGTTATGCTCAGTGAAAATGGGACCTCTCTGGAATGAAAGAAGACTGTTAAAATGATTTGAACCAAATTAACACCTAGAATAAATAGTTCTAACAACAGAACAGAAAGTAGTAGTATTTATTTACAATAGATCTGTATTTAGTCCTTCCCTTGACTTCTGATTATCTTCTGATGAATGAGATAGAGTTAATAAAGAGCTAGTTCCTTCTGACACTTTATTCAGCAAGTTGATTAATTTTGTCCTTCTGGGAAAACTTAAATTAGAATTTCTTTTAAAAAATTCTCTTAAGAAAGTATCTTGTTTCAGGCCTGGAAAGAGAAATTTGCCATTACAAGTGAATACTGATTAATGGGTTGTTAGTTACATTTCCATTTATTGATTTGATTGGAAAAAAATTATAGTGATTCTTAGCTACGCTTGAGAGATCATCTCCGTGCTATTTCTCCTTGTTAGTTATGTAAAGTAGGAAAACCAGTGGGACATTGTATCATCTACCCATGCTGCTTTACCAGTAGAAATCAATATCGTTTCTCAGCGGCTTTCTAAAACTCATTACTCAGCTTGCCTTCACACATTATTTTTGTCAAGTGAGTGGCTTATTAACTTATCATCACACTGACCTTTGCAGGAATCCTCCTCCAACACTGCAGCAGCCTGAACTGTGGTCACCGGAATTCAATGACTTCATTAACAAGTGAGTAACAACTGAGACTACTGTAGCTGAATATGAGACGTGTAAATATCATGTGCAAAATATCTTTGTATTCTCTGTGGAAATCTGTGGCTATTAATACTTTACCTTAAAAACGTAGTTTGTAAATGCGGTTTGACTTCCAAGTGAGGCTCCAGATTTAAAACATGAAATAACAACATTTTAACACACTTATTTCTGTCTTTTTTCATTTAAGGAATATTTAGTTTTAAAATGCAGTAATTTAACTTCTTGGACTCATCAATTTTCAGTAGAGCTGTTGTGACTAAGATGGATGTGTTTGTTATGGAGGCATGAATGAACTACAGACAAGCATTTCAAAACTTAAAATTCCTCATTGATCATACGCTTTTTCTGCCAGCACAGGTGCTTGACTAAAGATTATGAGAAGCGTCCAACAGTATCTACCCTTTTGCAGCATGATTTTATTAAGCAAGTTGAAGGAAAAGAAAACGTGCTACAAAGGCAACTCATGGAATTTATTGATGTTCATCAACAAATGGGAGTCACTGAAAAGGCAAGGTAAAAGTATCTAAAAAGTAGACCAGTTGGCACAGTTTTGATGCTTTCACTGTTTCAGAGTGACCAACACTCAGAGAAAGATGCACCTCTTGTACCTTTTAGCTGCCCCAAAAATAGAGAGCTTAATCTTCATGTCCCCGATAGAGCCAATGGAAAGAGCAAGGCATCATGGCTCACACATGGAATGAAACAAACATTAGAAGTGCCTCCCCTTTCTCCTCTAACTCATGATGGAAATTAGGATCCCAGCTTTCAGAAAGCTAAGGTTAGGTGGAATTAATTTATATTTTTTTACATTTGCGTGGTCAGCTAATGTTTAGTTTAAACAAGTATGCTCAAAGTAGTTAGTCAGGTTCCTGCAAGAATTGAGCGCTACCCGCTGAAAGAAGTCATAGTGGTACCAGGCCTTGTTTTACAAACTTCAGATCATACGTCTTATTGAATAGATACTTACTTTCTTCCACTAGTATTTAGTAATATCAATTCTGAATAAATGAGTTAGCACAAAATGCTTTTTATTTAAAACAACCAATAATGGCCTGGCTCAATTTTACAATTTAAAAAAACCTACTCAGTACACTCCAGTAATGTCAAATGTGAAATGTGGTAGATTAGTATTGATATACTTCTGCTGTGACTGCTCCTGTGCTTCAAGTTAAAGGATGAAAACTTTTCTTTTTTTTTAATGGAACATAAAATTTAAAAGACATTTTGCCTTTATCATCTTTATGGGAGAAAACCTCTTAAATCTGACACATTTCCTTTCACGCATATCTTTAGTAACGATATATACAGCAGTCTTCAGTTTTAATTTTGGAGAATTTTCTGTTCACTCTTTGCTTTGAAGATAAAATATGTATCTCTAAATAATTTATGATTTTCAAGTTTTCTTGGACTTTAAGTGGATGTGGGATGAGTAATAGTCTCTCTTTTCTGGCATTTCAGTAAAAAACTATGCAGTTGGCTTAAATTTAAGCCTCAGACTGGATTTGTATGATCTGTATAGTGCAGACTTGACACTTACTTAATCCAAAAAGATTCTGAAACTTAAATAAGCTTATTGAATGTCAGTGCTGAGCACTAAAACAGCAACATACTCCAGACTTTAAAAAGTATTTATTTATAAAACATGGGAAAATTATATGTGGTAAAATAAATCCAAACCACTAAATTATATGAATTGAAGTCCTGATAACAGTTGTGATACTGGTCCTTTCAAAGCCTAAATGATTTTTGAAAATCAAACTTCTAAGTCAATTAAGTATTGCAAGCTTTTTTACCCATTTTACACAAGTCACATGATTGTTTTCTGTCAAGTCCTTTTTTTCCAAATCCTTTCATTTTTTTTATGTAGACGCTGCATAAAGCAAATTACATGAACTTTCTTTTGCTGTACAATACATCACCATGGCTGGGCTTCGCCAGCGAAGATATGGGAAGGGCTCTACTCACACTTGCTACAAGTGCACTGATGGCTAAAAATGCCGATGCCGGATAGGCATGTCCGGTTGCAAAAGGCACAGCGGAAAGTACAATACAAAAACTAAGCGACTGGCGCAATTTGCATGTGCGTAGAGCACTCCAATGGCACAGGAACAGGACAATCTATTGGTACTTTCTTAATCCTCTTTAGACTGTGTTTTATTAACCAAACACTCTTCACATTAACAAGAGTTTAAGGGAGCGTTACCATATGCTGAAGTTACCTATGCTTTTACAGCTGATCAAGTGGAATTTGTATATAAATTTTCCTAAAGGAAAGTGCAATTTTTTTTGAAAATAGTAGTAATTTATTATCTGAACCTGTGCAAAACTTATTGAACCGTGTAATTTAAATGGCATGGTTAAGCTAATAGCTTAGTCCATACTTCAGTGATTCTATGATTTGATAATATCTATTGCAATTTCTGTACAAGCAAAAAAAGCAGACATCATTTTCCAGTAGCTGAAACAGTAGTAATATATGTACATCATTTCACTTTAGAAGAAATTACAGTTCCGGGCCTGCGAAGGATGTTACTGTAGAAGAACATTTGTTTTCCTCTCCTTTTGAATGATATAAAGATTATACAAAGATCTTAGAATTCAGTAGTTGTACTTTTTTGGAAGTCTTTAGTATTAATCGTATGTATCTTCTGATCTTCAGTCTGCACAGAGCAAATGGTGTCAAAAGCAGCGTCTGTGTAGAATCAGCATGTAAATCTGATTCAGCGTCAAGACATAGGTTCTGCAGTGACAAGTCACCTGAAAGAGTCTCATCTTAAAATCTTCTTGCTTTCTTTTCTTCATTATCTTGTTCTGGCACTGCTTTTACCTTGGCATTATAGGACCCTACTACAGAATTCCTGAACTTTCACCAATTGCTGGCAACTTTGCTTGTAAAGCTCCCTCCTGATGGCCAGCTCACATTCTCTCAGTCCATAATTTGAAGACATAGCTCTCCTGCTTCTTAGCACTAGGAGACAGGTAGTTTAAGGGATTAAAGAACTCTTCCTTCCACCAAGGGAATAAATCCTTCTAGCTGCGTTGTTTTGTATAAATGAGCATGGCATATAAACTCAAGAAATTTGGTAATGTTAACCTAAAGCTGAAAGTAAGGAATATGGTTACTTTCTCAGTATGTGTTTTCTCTCCTCTTCAAATTCATTAATAGAAGTTTTGTATTTCCTAAGAAAAATGAAAAATACCTGAAAGTTAATAGCTGAGGTCCAGCCACTAGGTCTTCCTGTGTGCATTAATCCTGTTTTCACTGAAAATCAAGTCACCCTCTGTGCCCAGCATCCTGAGGTGTAGTTCGCTTCAAACTGCCTTCCACAGCCGTAGTCTGCTGATGTGCTTGTGTCATTTCCTGAATGTGCAGTTGATACAGTTCAATAAGAAGAGATCATGTTAGGTGATGTCACATTCTCAGAGGTATTTGCAGAAAGCCGGATTCTCAGATCTACTCTCTGTGTACTGTGTGTGCTCAGGAAGGGTGTGTGGTCTCTAGACCAGAGTGTAGCCACCCTACAGTCACTGCCATTAGCACCACTGTTCCTGGAGCTTTTTCTAACCTTGAGGAGTCAGAGTCACTAGAACATTGCCCTGGGCCCTCTGTACCTTCCCATTATTTTTGTTCTAGTGAAGAGGAACCTTATTTTAGGTTCTGCATCATACTGTGTCCTTTCTAAACACCTAACAAGAGGAACAGAGCCCACCAAACTCCTGAGAAACCAGAGAAATCTCAACTTACGCTGATAAAATTTTAAATGGCAATATGCCATAGACCGCCTCCAGACTTAATGAAGGTGATGGAAGGTTGTACTGGTTTTTCAGAAGCATCTGAACAGTCTTATAGCATTAACATATCTTGTGCTACTCAAGGCTCAGAAAAGCATGAATACTGTCAATGAGCTTCATTAACAAATTCCACTTTTTTTACTTGGAGAAAATGCAATGCATTTTTTCCTAAAGTCATCGCTTTGCAACTTAACCCTTCCTAGCTCAGATCTCAGGCTGAAATTACAATGGGAAGAGCATGAGAAAGTATCCCTTGATGCATTAACATTTTCCTATTGCATCTTGACTGAAACATCTCTAAAATCTGCTCTTTGAAATGATGAAGTAAGCTACAGGAGACAAATTTATGTACAGGAGGAGGTGAAGCAGGTAATGTTGCATACTAAGTGCAATTAGTTTGAGGGTATTTGTGTAGCGTTTGGGTTCTCACTGAACTGTGGATTCCTGGTGAGGAGAGTCACTTTCAGGACGAGGCCCTTGGGCTTCTGTGAGAGTTGCCTTTGTTGTGCCTATAGCAAGAAAAACCTATTTCATTGTGCAACTTCATAAGGTGGTATTTGCCTCTTTTCACAGAGATTCATGACACACAATCATCTTGGTATTTGTTTTCCCTCAGTCTTTTCAAACTGACAAACTTTCAACTAATAGAAAAAAAATATGTTACATCCTAGTAGTATGATCTTGAGGTTTTATACAAATAAGCTTCATCCCGTATCTGTTACTCCAGTCCTCAGGACCACCTAGTTCTTTAAATACTATATTCCAATTCTTTTCTCTCTTGTTAGTGACACAGAAAGCATGCTAATGGAACTTATTGCACAATCTTTAATGAAAATAAAACATATTCTATAACAAAGAAGCAATAACCGCATTTGAGCTTGATCATTCACCTTTGGACACTGGTTAAGTTTTCCCTTATTTTTAGTGAATCTTTCAAATACTTACACTCTCATACATCACATTATAGCTGTTAAAATTTATAATTAGTGATGAAAATAATTGTTAGAAATGAATGCTGCAGCATATACCTCCAAACTGTTCTAAAAATACACTTCTTGCTAGGCCAAATGAGGGGAAAAAACTGCATGGTAAAGAGTTTTACTTTGCAACAGAAATAGCTGTCTTTGAAATGGCCTTCAGAACTGTCGCATCTACCCCAACAGTCAGGCTTGTAGGACTTTTATCTTGAGTTGTTTGGCAGTCTTATTCTTGACTGCTTTTACAATAATCTCTGCAGAAATGTGGAATGATTAGTACAATGTGTTTTTCCTGGGAATTATGACTCATTCCAGAACAAACTGCATATGCGAGGGATATTTGCTGCACCTAGATTTCAGTAAATGGCTCTGGTCCCCAAACTAAGAGCCTCATCTTTATATGCCCTCTAAATAAATATGGGAGAGAGACCCATTTTGCTGCAGAGTGATTCACTTTCGGGTGAACTGAATTACTCTCCTAAGATTTTGTCCTTTCATGTTGGTCATTTACGGATAGCACTGAAATCCAGTGACAGGGTCGTAAACAGTTGCTCTATTTAACTGTCTGGAAAGTTCAAGGAGGTAAACTCGTAGAAGTTCATGCACAACATGCATAAAGGTGGTTATCAATTTATTCCCCACTATTAAAAGCAGGGACTTATCATATAGTAACCTTCCATGATTTTCCCTAATTGCACAGTCATGCGTCACGTATTTTCTGGGTGTTCTCTCTAACTCATCCTG